GAATTGTCACGGACAAACTTTGAAACAGGGTGTTTGATGTAATGCTTATATATGTCCGTGTCTTTTGGCATGTTCATGCCTTGTACAGAATGTAGAGGGGCGGCCGAAGGCTTAATAGTCCCACTTTAGTTGGGTTGATGGCCTCTTTAGGCTTGTAAATAAAGGTTGTGTCATGTGGACACGTGCGAGAGCTCTTCGGTCTGTAATGGACCATTTTACCCTTTGTTGTGCCACTGTTCAGAGCTTGTAAGGTCTGTTTGTAATTTGCATTGTCTATGAAGTGTTTTTTCGGATATGTTTGCTTGTGGATCCCGATTGAGGCGTTCTCTCTTGCCCGTTCTCTCCTTTGGTGGTCCTAAGGGACAATGGGAGGCTTCGGGGAGGCTGACCTTTGCGGACGGACGCGCGAGGGTGCCGCACGACTTAGGCAAAACCAGCTAAGTCCGTGTCAGAATGGTATTTTGATGACTAAAAGTATCCATCCTAATGAAGAATTCATGCGTATACACTATTTGACTAAAAGTGTTCATCCTGATGAAGAATTCATGCGTATACACTATTTGACTAAAAGTGTCCATCCTGATAAAGAATTCATGCATATACACTATTTACGTCATGATGATTATGTTAGACAAACTATTTCTTCTGTGTCATTAAACAATTGATTTTGGATTGGATTAACATAATTACTACTAAGATTTTATCATTTGTTATTTAATATGGACAAACATTTATGATTATAATATTTTAATTTATTTAATATATTTTAAAATATTTTTCAATTAAACATAAAATCTAACTAGTTGACCCATCGATCCGATCAGCAAAAGGCTCAACTCAATCGCTTCATGGTTCGATTGTGATAACTATGCATGACGACCTATGCAACTTTTCTTTTTTTATTAGTTTTAATATTTTAATTATATATATTTTAAATTATTTAATATATTTTAAAAAAAATAATTATTTAATATTTTAAAATAATTTTAATTATTTAATTTTTTAAAATATTTTAAATTAAACATGGAGTCCAACTAGTTGCCCATCCGACCAACAATGACCCAAGACTTGACCGGGTCCTGATTCGATTTTGATGGCCATGCATGACAGCCCACTACACATTACAAATAAGACAAAATATCAAAAATCTGACATGTCAAATACTTTAAGTATATTTCTTATATACTTTTTGCCAACCTCATCTTACTGAAATTCAAAAGCACTGACGAAAATTAGTTTCAGTGAATACCAGGGGTAATGTCTATTTTTCATAAGAAAATATATAATACTAGCATACAATCTAGCATCAACTAATCTTGTCTAAGAAAAGATATATTATTTGTACATAGTAAACCATTACAAATGGGATTGAATTGTACATTAAGGAAAGAAGTGGCAGATTTAAAATCAAGAGTAACATTTGACAAATTTAAAGATTGATGGAACCAGATAAACATTTAAATAAACTCCATCCTAGTAGATAAATTACTGAAGCCTTACCTTACCCATAAAATTTACTATAACAGAAGCAAACTTCTCAGGATCACTTCCACGAACAAAGTGACTTGACACTTTAGTCATGTCCTGGAGAGCATTATGCATGCAGAGGTTAATACTGGCAGCATGAATAAAGTGAGGAAAATTTGTCAACAGGATAGCTTAGTAGTACCTTGTAATATGAATTAATATAAAAGAATGACAGTTTAAAAAACAACATATGAATTGATATCAAAGAATTACATTTTAAAAAGACACTAAAAGAACCAGAAAAGGCTCAAATAATTACAGATTAAAAAGCCACTAAAAGGACCAGAAAAGGCTTAAATTCATAGCATGATATATAGGAAAAGGGAAGCTAACATCAGAATTCCTAGTCAGGCTTTACAAGGTTGAATAAGCATATGAATGAACAGAAGACATTGCTGTTATTGGGAAGACTTCAATTATCAATTAGATATGTTACTTAGATAAAAGTTCCTTCAGCGTACATCTATTATGTAGGACTTAGTCCAAGTATACTAAGGTAAAGAGAAGTCTAACATGGAAAAAAGGGACCACTTGTGAAAAAAAATATATGGGAAGCTTATTTAGTGTCAATAACATCAATGCATATGATTTTACTGAATTAAAAATTACCATTTCTTCTTGATTTTTTTTTGCTGTTTTAATTACCAGTATTCTGTTTCCTAGACCCTTCTACTTTATGGCATGGTTTCCATGCAAATGCCAAAAAAGTAATGAGACCACTAATCAGACACAACCCAACTCACTTACACCATATGTGTGTGCCTCCTGTAATTGGACAATGTTCAACCTCTTTGATCAAGACTTGGGACCCTGATTCTTCTCTCAAAGATGGCTCAGGAATATCTCCCAATGATTATTTAGGTATCCTAAATCTATTGTTCAAACAATAAAACAGGATGGTTAAAATGGAGTGCTGGTAGTTTTGTATAATAATCATATATCCTTCAGATTAAAAAAAATTAGAAGACAAATATAAGCTCAACCATGCTTTATGGATCAGACAGTTGATTGGTTAGTAAACTAACATGTACAAAAATAAATTTATAAAACAAAGGTAGGGATGATGAGGTAAATATGTAGGGCTACTAACAAGGATAAAAGAAGAGAGCATAGATACACTCCAATGAGACTTATAAATGCCTTGGTTACACAAAGTGAGTCAATTAAGATCAGTGCTATGAGAAAAAGACTTTAGAAAACTTTAATAGAAACAAGAGAAAAAGATCTGACTGCTTTTAGTTCAACTATGGATATTGTACTACACAGCTTTGACAAAAAGGTCCATGTAACAAACCCTATATAGTTGGGACATTATGGCTTACTGGGGGAATTATTTCATGCTATGGTTGATTGTGATCTACAGTGGGATAACAGGGACCCATGGATATATGAATTTTCCTAGGAGTATAGGTTAAATTCCTTCACTAAGGCAAGCTTTGCCAAACCATGAGGAAGGCTAAGTGCAAAATAACCTTGGAGATTTTGTCAATTGACTCCAATTCACAAGAAGGTGGTTGCCAATGCTCTACATGTTTGTAGAGAATATATGCTAGTTACTGGTTTGCAACAGCTTTACCTTAAAAGTCCACCCTGGACTAGGAATTCTGTCAGGCAACAAATCCCCCATAATTAAAAGTGATCCATCAAGTGCACTTTCTGTTTGGTAAAGAGGTCATAGTACTGGTTCATCCAAACTGTCTCATTAAAACAATTTGTCCACCCCAATACTGGTTATGTGATACATTATCCATCTAGTCTCTAAACACTGCACACATCCCATATTTCACTTAAAGTCTTTTTTTGCCAATGACAAGGATATGAGCAAAATGATACATATTTAATTTTTCCCATGTTTCAACTTAATGGGGTTGACTTAAAACATTGTGAGTGAACACCGCTACAAAACTAAATCAACACTTGTACATTTTTTATGCTTTACCAATATTTTGTTAACCTAGGCTAGTAAAGAAACATAGTATTCATTCTTGAAAATTGAAATCAAGAAAAGCAAAGATCCTTTTTTCACAACTTTTCAATTGAAAAAAGATAAATTGTCAGTTCAATTTACCAGCTCAGGGGATTCAGAATACAAGTATTCTGCTAGCATGTCATGCAACTGGGGAGATCCATTTTTCGGAGCCCCAGACTCAGATGACCACCTAAGAGAAGATAATGGATATTATTGTTAGAATAAAAAGGGTAATGCACACTTGATGATACCAGACCTAAAAGTGAACTTACTTGATTGCAGCTCTCAAAAATGATGAGCAACCCTCTACACGAACTTTAGCAGCCATCAAAGCTTCTGAAAGTTTCTGCATATCACCATCATCCTCTAAATGCTGTGGAATGGGAATCCTCGGGAAATCATCATAGATTTTCCTAACACGATCTAAGTTGGATGAAGTCAAGACCACGAACAGATAAAGGCTAGAAAAAATATCTTTAATCCTTTAACATGGCAAAGCATAAAAAGAACTAAGTGCATTTTGTACTCATCAAGTCCCTAAAAGAAGTTTATTTTTCTTCAATTATTTCTTTCTTAATCATCATCTTTTTTTAATTTTCTTTTTGTTTACTGGGTCATGGGCATCGTGAACCATCAGCAGTAACACCCTGCAGGAATGCTTGAGATAAAACAATTTGTTACCTATAAATGACAGTAACCTATGAAATGGCTATCTAGAGAATCCACTATATCTGGTGAGGGCTTAAAAACCTTAAAGAAAGATACTTTGTTGTGTTAGAAAGTATAAGCTAACCAATATCACAAGCAATACCACCAAAAGAAAAGACCCTGATTCATATTCTGATAGGGGATATTAAAGAAAATTTGTAGATTTACCAGCACAGTTATAATTCTAAAAAATGACTCTACAATGATATGTACAAGTGCACTAATAGAAAAGAGAAAATACAGAACTTCAAGGATCAACTGAGTTAAAAACTAAGGAGAAGCTGTAAGCTTATGATGCAGAAGAACAGATTATAATATATAGTTATGTTAATAAAGTACAAACAGAGAGGAACATCCGGCTTAGATGCCACAATCGAACAAGATATACCGAAAAACAAATCACTTGAAAGGATGATTAAACAAAAATTATTTGTCAATCAAAACGTTATGTTAATTTGATTACTGATTCAGTATTCCCATCACATTTTTAAATGTTTACGTGTTTGGTGTGCTTTCATAATTTTGTTTCAATTTCTTTTCCTCCGAGATTTGGATCACTTTAAGCTTCTATGAGAATTGAGAGGTTTACATGTTAATCTTCAACATTATTTAATTTTAATACATTTAAGGATTATGATCACACTGTTAAAAATCATTTGAGGAAAAAAAATATGGCAATTAGATAGTTGGTCCGGTAACAGAAGGTCTAATTTGAGTTTGGATACAACAAACTATCTTTGATGGGAACTACCATGTAGAAAAACTACAAAAGGAGAGAGAAAGACCTATAGACGGATGCTCAAGAAATTAGGACCAGGAACCAAAAAGTCTAACTACGATTACCTGGCCACTCAGGGTTGCAGCTAAAAGCCTATTGCTACAGAGGATCTTGAACCCTTCCATTCAAAAGAGAAAGCAGTGTACCAGCAGTGGAAATACCCAACTGAAGCTAGCTTCGAAAGAGGTAAAGGCTATTTAATCCTGTTACACCTATCACAGCACATTCATTGATCTTTTACCTGAGAACACGAAAGTTATTTGAGAAACCTAAACACGTGATGATTTGTTATAGCCTCTAACATGACTGCGCCATAATTTCCTATATTTGAACATAGGAAAATCATAGAGAATAACTGTTTCATAATGAATTTTAACAAGAAGCATTACGTACAGGTAAACAAAACCAAGTTATTTAACATTCATATGAAAATGTTTCTAAACATGCAATTAACCTTGGAAAGCATTTAGTAGCATTTAAACTAAACATATGGAGAAACCCCCACAGGAGGAGAAGCAATTGAACTAAAATGCACAATGCAGATGAAGCCCCCAGGCTGCGCTTTTATCATCAGTCGTCTACACTGTCCTCAGGCAGTTATTGATTTTAACAAAAATCACCACCCACAAATGACTCTGTTAAATTGTTACCTGCTGTCTATTGTTTATAAAGGATAAAACATAAGGCCTTTAAAGATAAAGTGAAGGTAAACAACATAACTCATGACTACTGAGATATTTATGTGTGTTTAAAAAGAGAATAACAAGTTTTGGTTCCAAAACATAATAAACGCTTCACAAAATAAGCAAAAAAAAATATATTCTATGTTGCACTAATAGAACAAGAACATACCAAGAGTTCCTTTGCTGTAGGAATATTTTCCCTTGACTAATGTTTCCACAAACAAAACAGCCAGCTCAGCTCCACAAGTAACCTGTATATGTTTAAGATGATATTAGAGCAAAGTGTTGGATCACCAAAGAAATAACCTTCAGGAGAAAATATGTTTTGTGTTGTTAAGCAACATTCTTTAGTTTCCTTTCGTCTCAGGTATTATCTGCTTTAGGCTCCATGATAACCCAAATAGAGCTACTCGATGTGCAACAACTGTGGCTCAATTATTAAACAAATGATGACTGTTATATATAATATCTGGATGTAAATGTTGGATCTGTATGTCACAATCCTGAGCTTTCCGTATTAAGAAAAGAGATTTACAAGGACAAATGGGTCACTGAATCAGAATGTTCTACCTAGATGAATTGCTTCAACTGTGTTTTTCCAACGTGGCAAACAGAAATTGTAAATGCATGTGTAACAGACAAACTTATTTGTTGCTAGTTTAAATTATTCTTATACTTACAAGTTACAAGTAAACTTTTTATTCTTGTTTTTTGTCACAAAAAAAAGCAATCCTCCATAACTCTTAAATATTATACTTGAAATGAACAAAATATTTTAATTAATTCTACAAAAAAATAAATCATGACATCAGATCAGAAGTGACGAACAACATAAATAACATCTGTCAAACTCTGAGATATATGTCACCAGTGTCTCTTTTTTTCTTTCCTAGAGATCTAAAACATAATATGTCAAGAAAATAACCTGCCCATGCTTCAGTTGTATAAGAGCACCTGACTGAAGAATATCCAGGGCTTCAGAATATTTCTCAGCAGCTACATATCTGTTGCAAATTGACAAGCATTGGTATCAAAAATGATCTGAAAGTCAGTGGTTAATATTTTAGAGAATGAACACAATTGTGGAAATGATACCATAAATCATCGTATAAAAGAAGACACACAGACTAAGATTCTGGCTCCACAACACACGCACTGAGCTGTATATATGTGACAAAACAACATCTGCAAGGTAGAAAGGTGTGTATTTCTGTTGTGCATGAGCTAAGGTTGCAGCATCATACTGCATCATATGCATGTCAAGCAGGCATGCAGTACACTGAAGCAGCATTTCAAGGTACATACTTATATGTGCAAGGAACAAAATAGTACTGCATGCACTGCAAACAATGGCACACCATAACACAGTTTCTCCATCCTAAACTTGTTTTCCTTCTGGTACTAACATTTGCCTGATGTTAGAAAAGATAACCTGAAACTGTTTCTTTTTCATGTGGATAAAACCCAAGGTACTCCCAAAAAAGGAGAAAAAAAGGCAACATATGTGTCCCCTCTTCTCTTTCCTTTTCTTCTTCCACATCATATTATTCTATTTGCTACTTACTCCCCTTCGACACCAACAAGTCATAATGTCCCAAGTACATGGATCTTGTCCCACAACTAAGCTCTGTGTAATGTAATATCTACAATAATATTGAGTGCAATCATATATCTTTTGACCATTTCCAGAGAAGACTTCTTAGGTCTCCCTCTATTTCACCCAACTAATCCTAATCAACTAATATTGAGTGCAATCATATATCTTTTTACCATTTCCAGGGAAGACTTCTTAGGTCTCCCTCTATTTCACCCGACTAATCCTAATAGACTCACAGTGTCTAACACATCTATAGCAAGGACTGAAATCTCGACACGGTTAGATCGGTATGCACCGATCCAACCACCAACTGGTAACTAACCCAAACCGCGTGGTTCAATTTTTCTTTTTGTTGTCCTCTTAGGCTTATGGACTAGGTATGCACGATTCTCATGCTCGCGACAAGGCCTACAACCACTCGCACTCACTATGCTGCCACCGCATGCCTTCTCCTCTTCCCCTTCCTCTTCCTCCTCTTTTTCCTTCTTCCTCCACCACCTCTTTTTCCTCATCCTCCACTAACATCTTCTCCTTTTTTTCCCTTCCTTCCTTCTTCCTTGCCCACATCCTCTTCTTTCTCCCTCTTCCTCCTCCTTCCTCCACTGCCGCCTCTTCTTCCATCCTCTTCCTCCTCCTTCACTACCTCCTCTTCTTCATTCATCTCTCCCTTCTTGTCTTCCTTCACCGCCTCCCTCTTCTTCCTTACTCTTCCTCTTTCTTCCTTCATACTCTCCTTCTCCTTCCTCTTCTCTCTTTGGTACATACCAGTGTCCTGTATGTCAGTACACCTGTACCAACTCATATGTACCGGCCGGCCTGGTATAGTACTCTGGTATGAAATTGCAATCCTTATCTACAGACCCCTTGAACATAGTCATATCATCTTAGATTATTTGCTCCCATATCATCCTCTACTGTGGCAGCACCTAACTGTTATTGAATAAAAATATTTCCTATTATATTTTTACTAGTAACTACACATTCACTTCAATATTCTTACCTCAAATAATACTAACATTGTGTGCCTATTGTTTCTTAGCTACCAAACATTCTAGTGCATGTATAATTATTTGATAATTTGTTTAATCTAAGGGGAACAAGATGATTGCCCAGAATGCCTATTTCTCCTCTCCACTTTAACTATCCAATATTTACTTTTTTATAAACAACATTTTCATCTATCTATCCTTTCTATTGGAAAATAAACTTAATGTGCCTAAATACTTTAATTATAGGAAATTTCTGTTCATTGATCTTAACTATACACTTGTTTCCTTTTTTTAGTATTTCTAAAACTACATTTCATATATTCAGTCTTAGTTCTACTTAGAATTAATGTCATCTAATTTTTCATCAAAAAGAACAATAATGGCAGCAAATAACACCATGAGGGTCTATCCTATATGTGAATACTTTAGGTTGATCCTTGATCTCCTATAATTATATATATATATATATATATATATATATATATATATATATATATATATATATATATAT